TCGGACGGGATGCGGTGCTTTCAAGGTTCTGTGGCCGCAGATACTTGTTCAGGCTTCCGTACACAATATGAAGCCAAACACCGTCAAGTTTGGGCAAGCCTTCCATTCAAAGAAAGGGCATCTGTTGCCGTAGAAGGCAATTGGAGCGGTCATGGACTCTGATTTGGAGAGAGCAGGGGCTAGAGGCGGGCTTGTGCGTATGCGCAGCGCAGCGCAAGGTTGGGCTCGGCGCAAGGAGCTAAAGTGAGGGCAAAAGGGTGAATCGCCCAGGCGCAGTGAAGAGTGGGTTGAGGGTCAGACGCGCAGGCCGGCGGTCCGAGCTGCGAGGCGGAAGAGCGCAGCCTCGATTTTGCCTTTGTTTGACAGCTCCCAGAGATGCATGGAAGCCGACAACGCTAACCCTCGCCAAGCGCAGAGACCGCTTCATGCGCTTTCGCCCCTCGCCCACAAAGTCATCCTTCACCGCCTCACCGTCACTTGGCCACTTGGCTACTTGGACAGCAGAGCGATTTGTGCGGCGCGTTCCTTAGCCACGCTAGTCTGCGCAGCACGCTGTTAGCCCTAATCCCTCGCAGAGCCTGCGCACAACATGAAGGCGTCCGCCTTTCATCTGCTCGCCACTCCGGTGCGCAATGTCGATTGTGGCACCTGGAGCGGATGCTACTTAAGCTTGCCTCCCTCGCCCTGTTGTCCTTCCAGTCTCGCTCCTTCACCGTTACCTCCTGTTCACCCTCTAGCGCTTGACAAACATGGGCATGCTATCGCGATCGTCCAGCTCGGCCTCGTCTGCAGAAAAGGGCGAGGTGGAGCCTGCTGCTGCGCGGCGTGTAGCCAAGTTCACCACCTCGCGCAGCACGCGCTTTGACGAGTCCGCCACGAGCCAACGGCGTCTTGAGCGCACGCACTCGATCGCCGCCTCGCTCCGCGCTCCCTCACGCATCGACCCCACCGCCAAGGTTCCCGTCGAGTTCCGCACGCTCTCCATCCAGCTCTCGCACGGTGGTCTGGCAGACCCTACGCACAAGAGCGACAGAAAAGCCGTCAAGGAGCTCGCCGATCTCGACTGGCACAAGCTCAGCGTGGATGAGGTGCTCACCCGCACCGCCACCTCTGCACAATCCGGTCTCGACCCAGACCAGGTAGAGAGGAGGCTCAAGCAGTACGGCAAGAACGTCATGTCCAAACCCCCGCGTCGTCTCCTCCGCAAGATCGCAGGCTACATCTTTGGCGGATTCGGTTCGCTACTCATCGTCTGCTCCATCCTTGCCTTTGTTGCCTGGAAGCCGCTTGGCGAACCCAACCCGCAGACATCCAACCTCGCACTCGCCGTGGTGCTGCTCGTCGTCGTCGTCATCCAGGCCGTCTTCAACGCGTGGCAGGATTTTAGCACGAGCCGCATCATGGATTCCATCGTAGGCATGCTCCCCGACGCAGTCACCGCCATCCGCAACGGCGCACATGCCAGCATCGAGGCACACGACCTTGTCCAGGGCGATATCGTCGTGGTGTCGCTTGGCAACAAGATCGCCGCCGATCTCAGGCTCATCGCCTGCTCCGAGGCAAAGTTCGACCGCAGCGTCGTGACGGGCGAGGCCGAGGCGATCGCAGGTACCGTCGACATGTCCGATGACAACTACCTCGAGACGCGCAACATTGCGCTGGCCGGCACCAGCTGTGTTTCCGGCTCTGCCATCGGTGTCGTCGTGGCCACGGGCGACAACACCGTCTTTGGCAGAATCGCTGCCATGACCAACCGGCCCAAGGCGGGTCCTACAACGCTCGAGCGAGAGGTGCGCTTCTTTGTGGCAACCATCGCTGCGATTGCCGTGGCGCTCGCCGTGATCTGCGTCATTATCTGGGCGGCCTACCTGCGACCCAAGCATCCCGAGTTCATGTCCGTGTCGGCGCTCCTCGTCAACGTCGTATCCATCCTGGTCGCCTTCATCCCCGAAGGTCTGCCCGTCGCAGTCACACTCTCGCTCACCGTCATCGCCAAGAAGATGTCCAACGCCAAGATCCTGTGCAAGCAGCTCTCGACGTGCGAGACGCTCGGATCCGTATCCGTCCTCTGCTCGGACAAGACGGGCACGCTCACCTCGAACCGCATGACTGCCACCTCGGTGGGCGTGCTCGGCTTCGAAAGCACACCCGCCGATGCACGCGATCACGTCAACACCGGCGCACCCGTCGGTCACGCCTTCCAGCAGCTCCAGTTCGTAGGCGCCGTCTGCAACGCAGCCGTGTTCGACGCAGCAACCATGTCGCTTCCCGTCGACGAGAGGAAGGTGTACGGTGACGCCACCGACTCGGCTGTGCTCAAGATGGCCGAACTCATCCGTCCCGTCGCCGACACCAACAGGCCGTGGGATACAGAGTACAAGCTCAGCTTCAACTCCAAGAACAAGTTCATGCTCCAGCTCGTAGGCCTGCGTGCCGAGGCCACCGCCGACGCTGCTGAGGCGCGCAAGCTGGTGGGCTCCATCATGTCTACCAGCGAGGCTGCCGCATTTGACGCCGAGAACGACAGGATCCTGCTCGCCAAGGGTGGCCCCGATGTGCTGCTCAAGCGCGCTGCTTTCGCCATGGACGCCGCGGGCCAGGTGGTGCCGATGTCCGACGAGGTGCGCGATTCGATCATTGCCATGCAGTCCACGTGGTCTCCGCGCGGACAGCGATGTCTGCTGCTCGCTCGCAAGATCATCCGCGCCGGCGAGCTCGACGCCTCGGTTCCGCTCGAGGATGCCGTGATGGCCGCCAACACCCAGCTCACCGTCGTGGGTCTGGTCGGAATCGTCGACCCGCCGCGGCCCGAGATCCCCTCGGTGGTCGCCACGTGTCGCGGCGCGGGCATCCGCTTCTTCATGGTGACGGGCGACTTTCAGCTGACCGCCGAGGCGATTGCGCGCCAGTGCGGCATTGTGACCGCCGAAAAGGTCAGGCGCTTCGACGATCTGCACTCGGTCGAGCTGCCCGTGTACAATACGCAGGCGGACAATGCCGACCGCCCACAGAATGCGCTCTCGCTCTCCGGTCCCGATCTGATGCGCATGGAGGAGTCGGATTGGGAGCAGATTTGCCGGTTTGACGAGATCGTCTTCTCGCGCACCACGCCCGAGCAGAAGCTGCGCATCGTCAAGGAGTTCCAGGCGCGCGGCGAGTGCGTCGGCATGACGGGCGACGGCGTCAACGATGCACCCAGTCTCAAGCAGGCCGACATTGGCATTGCCATGGGCGGTGGTTCGGCCGTCGCCATGGAGGCGGCCGATATGGTGCTGCTCGACAGCTTCTCGTCGATCGTCGATGCGCTGCTCTACGGCAGACTGGTCTTTGTCAACCTCAAAAAGACCATCGGCTACCTGCTTCCGGCCGGCTCGATCGCCGAGCTGTGGGCGGTGCTGCTGTCGTTCTTCTTTGGGCTGCCGCAGATCCTGAGCAACCTGCAGATGATCTTTGTGTGCGTGGGTACCGATGCCATCTCGTCGCTCAGCCTGGTGCACGAGCAGCCCGAGGCGAACCTGCTGCAGCGCAAGCCGCGCGACATCAAGAAGGATCGTCTGGCGGATTGGAGGCTGCTGGCACATGCCTATCTGTTTGTGGGCATGCCGCTCACCGTGATCAGCTGCGCCATGGCGTTCTGGTACATGCAGCGCAACGGCGTCGCCTTCTCCGACATGTGGCTCACCTACGGCGCGGGCAGCGTACAGACCAACAACCCGACTCTGTTCAACGAGGTGCTCTACCGCGCCAATGCCGTGTACTTTTTCAACCTGGTGATCCAGCAGTGGTTCAACCTGCTCGGCTGGCGCTCCCAGAGCCGTAGCATCGTCCAGCAGCCTCCCATCGGCAAGAAGAGCACGCAGAATCTGTATCTGCTCCCCGCCATGGCTCTCTCGCTGCTCATCGCCGTGTTCCTCAGCTACATTCCGGCGCTCCAGCGCGTCTTCCTCACGCGCGGCGTCGAGGTGGAGCACTACTTCCTCCCCGTCGCTTTTGGTGTGGGCATGCTGATGCTCGAGGAGCTGAGGAAGCTGGCTGTGCGCCACTTCCCCCGCTCTTTCCTCGCATACGTCGCCTGGTAGAGCCGAATCTTTCACAATACCCCATAATCTCCCTCCTGTGATGCCACGAATGTAGATGAATGTAGACGAATGTTGTCAGTAGCAACAGTTCACGATTCTGCCCAGCTTGCTTTGGAGCGTGTGCGGATGGCGACGCATGAGATGGCGCTGCAGATGAGGGTCTAACAAAAGTACGATTTTTCGACGGGTGGCGGCTAGCTTCAAAGCGGTGGCGGAGTCGAAGACTGGGCGTCGCGCCCGTCGACTGTCGCGTCTCCCTTGCCTCTGGCACTCTGCCTTTTTGGCAGATTCGAGCACCGACAGCTGCGCCCGCCCTTTGTCGCTCGGCAAAAGCCGTCTTTTGTTCTGAGACGCGCTGCGCCGCCCGCCGAAGGTCATTTTGACCCGCTTGCGGTCTCTGTGGACGGCGATTCAGCAGAGACGAGTCGTGCTACCGGCGTCGACGTGTTTCAGCGATTCGAGCGGGGCTGACGCTCGTTTTTGAGAGAATCGAGGCTCGCAAGGAGTCGACTGGATCTGTGACGCAGCGGATCGCGATCCCAGCAGGAGCGATCCAAGTGTTCATCGGTGCAAGGCCGTGCTGGCGCCTGCAAAGGGGTGGCGATAGCCATCGGCTGCGCTGTGAACAATGGTGCTCACAAAAGCCAGTCGGCTGTGCCGGCGCATGGGCGCAGATTGTGCAGAAATGCGCAACCGCTGCCAAGCTTCCAGGGGGGCATTGAGGGGGAAGGCGAAAAGGGGGACACGGGGAGGGGAGCGTGAAGTTGACAGCGTTGCAGCTGCAGGCTGCCAGCGCTCGGGTGAGCCGCGTTGGACTGCACGCGTGCGTTGGGCGCTGCACGAGCTTCGGCTCGGCGATGACAGCGCAAGTGGGAAATTTCGCAGCGTCGCCCAGCCGCCAGCCAGCCAGCCAGCCGACTTGGCACCACCTGCGCGAGGTGCCCACCACTCGGAGCTAGCATCTGCGACAAGCAGCTGGCGCGGCCAAGCCGATGATCGAGCACAGAGCACAGAGCGCGTGTCTGGCATGGACCTGCATTGCGCCCACCTTGGGTCAAGGATGCTGAGATGAGTTCATTCACGGCTTGGATGTCGGGCAGGCATGTTGGATAGTGCAAAATGCGCGAGGGTGCTGGCAGGTCTGGCAGGTCTCGATCGACAGGCGCCGGTTGCAAGCGAGAGACAGACAGCACCACGCGGGGCGCAAGAGCGCGAATGCACACGCGCTGCAGATGCACTCGAATCCGAGATCTTGGCTGCACGCGCCCTCGCCTGGCACGCTGGCATCTGCCTTTTCCTCGCTGGCCACTCCCTGCTCGGCGAACTTTGAGCTTGCCTCTCTCTGCTGGCCTCATCGCGCCGTCCCCTTTGTGAGGTGCGAACAAAGAACGAGGGCCGCGCACACGCACCTCGGATTCACACCCACGCCGAGCCCCGGCTGCACTCCGAATCGCTGCATGGCCAGCAGCTCTTGGCGGATGCCACCTCAATCGCAGAAAGATTCGCTTGATCCGATCTGTCGCCCTGGAACGCGCCTCGGATGAGCCGTCGATGAGAGGCTGGAACGGTGCGTCTCGCCTCGCATGCTGAGCTTGATTGCATCCAAGACACCGGATCTCGTCGGGCCAGGGCGTGGATGCCAAGGCGGAGGCGGGCCGAAGACAAAGACGGTGCAAAGCAGAGGCGGGCCAGGGCAGGGCAGGCGCAGCGCAGCGAGTCGCTCGGTTGGTCGGGGCTTGGATGGGAACAGAGGCAGTCTCAGGGTTCAGCACCAGCCCATGCTGCACCGCCAAGAGGCGCAGCGTGGATTCCTCGCCGCCTCTCCTCGCTCCTCGCGCTTGCCCATGCAGAGAGCTTGATCCTATTCCATCCTCGCCCTCGTCCGGTCGCCCTCTTCCTTCCCTTCCTCTTCCATCCTCATCCCCCTGTTCCCATTTCCGCGTGTATCCCTGCGATTCCCCATCCCTACTCGACGAGCTGGTTCTCGCCTCTTCCTTGCTTCTTCCTTTATCTTCCTTGCTGTAGCATAACCCTATCCTCCATTCCACCACCTACCCCCTCGCATCCTTCCTCGTGCTTTTGCGCTTTCGGTTGATCCCTAGCCCTCTCCTCTCGACAACAAACACCCTCGTCACTTTCGATTCGATCCAAGCCGGTCTTGTTCGTATCTCCACTGCTACCCCTCTTTGCATCACCTACACCAGCAACATCTTTCCTCGCTCCATCAGCATTACCAACATCCATCACCATCATGAAGTACCTCGCTGCTCTCGCTCTGGCTTTCGCCGCCTCCATCTCGGTCGCATCGGCTGGCCCCGAAGGCCCCGTCGCCGTCCCTCCCGGACAGGGCCGCTCCAGCCGTGGTGTTCGCTCCGTCATCACCGGCCACAAGATCCGCTCCCATGTCCATCACTCGCGCAGGCAGCACCACAACGACGACCTCGTCCTCCTCGACCGCAGGCTCAACAACGCAACCATCAACGCAGACGACGAGGAGGTCGCCGCCATCGCTGCCGCCCACAACAAGCGCAACACTTGCACTCCCAAGAAGAGCGCCGCCAAGACCTCCAACGCCTACCGCGTCAAGGGCGGCTCCGGCTCCGGCTCCAGCTCCTCTTCCGGTTCCAGCTCAAGCTCCAGCTCGGGTAGCGGCAACGGCGACGGCTCCGGTTCCAGCTCCAGCTCCAACTCGGGCTCGTCCAGCTCCAGCTCCGGCAACGGCAACGGCTCTTCTTCGTCGTCGTCTTCGTCGTCCAGCTCCAGCTCCAGCTCCAACTCCAACGGTTCCGGCTCCTCGTCCAGCTCCTCGTCGTCCTCATCCTCGTCGTCCGCCTCCACCTCGCAGTGGAAGCTGGTCAAGTCCTACTCGGGCTCAAGCTTCTTCGACGACATGGACTTCTACACCAATGCCGACCCCACCCACGGCTCCATCACCTACGTCGGCCAGGACCAGGCAAGGAACCAGGGCCTCATCGGCACCAACAACGGCAAGGCCACCATGAAGATCACCCCCGGCAACGGCTGGGCGCAGTCGGTGCGCATCAACACCAAGGACTCGTTCACCACGGGCATCTTTGTGCTCGACGCCGAGCACATGCCCGTCGGCTGCGGTGTGTGGCCCGCCTGGTGGTCCACCCCGACCAACCCCAACGGCGGCTGGCCCAACGGCGGCGAGATCGACATCATCGAGGGCGTCAACGACTACTCGTACAACACCTACTCGATCCACACCACCGGCGGCTGCACCGTGCCTGCCAACCCCAACATGTCGGGCAAGTTTACGCTCCAGGATAGCCGCGCCACCAACTGCGCCTCGGACGCCACGGGCAACCAGGGCTGCGGCGTCACCTCGACCAAGGGCGGCGACTTTGGCGTGCAGTACAACAAGAACGGCGGCGGCGTCCACGTCATGTACTGGTCCGAGTCCGACGGCATCTCGACCTACTTCTTCCCCAAGGGTCAGGTGCCCAGCGACATCAGCTCCGGCTCGCCCGACCCGTCCAACGGCGGATGGGGCACCCCCATGGCGCACTGGCCCGCCTCGCAGTGCAACATTGGCAACTACTTCTACAACCACGTCGTCGTCTTCACCAACACCGTCTGCGGCGACTGGGCCGGCTCGGGCGCGGTGTGGAACAACGCCATGAACGGACAGTCGCAGTCGTGCCAGGCCATGACTGGTCAGGGCTCCTGCCAGGCCTACCTCGGTAACAACCCGGACTTCAGCGAGGCCTACTGGTCCATCAACTCGCTCAAGATCTACCAGACTTCGCGCCGTTCCTAGAACCCGCATCTCGAGTCGGGCTCGGCTTAGTCGTTGGACGTGCAATGTAGCTGGTCTGCTCGCTGCGCGCCACGATGGCCATTCGGAATCGCGTCTGCACCTTTTGATACACATGGGAACTACACACACGCCCACCACCGCCTCTCCACTCCTTTCATTTCCCCGATGTAAGCGCGCGCGTGGCTCGGTGCGGCGACGAGGACTCGGCCTGGCGCCACCATCCTCGTCCCACGGCCGCGCGCAGCGCTCGCACGTCCGGCTCGAGCAGGTCTCGATCCGGCGTCGCACATCCACGTCACCCTTCTAGCTGTGCACACCTGCAAAAATCACACTTGCATTTTGTCGCGCACTCCCATCTCTTGTGTTTGAAAAGCTGGCTTGCGTGAATGAGGTTGCACTTCCGATGTGCACAAACAGTGTGACGTCTCTACTGTGAGCTTAGGCTGGGGTGGGGTGAGGGGAGGTTTATGATCCAGCCCTGCTGTTTGACGAGGTCGAGGAGGGGACTGAGCACGCTAGATGCGCGGAGCGTGGGGGAATGGCCTATGAGGATGAGTTTGCGTTTGGCGCGGGTGAGCGAGACGTTGAGTCTGCGCAGATCGTTGAGCAATTCACCCGTGCTCCCACCGCGTGCGCCTGTTGACGAGGGTGCATGGTTGGCCCGCGTGAACGTGACGATGATCACGTCCTTGTCTCTGCCCTGCGACTGATCAGCCGTCAAAATTTCGACGTCTTCAAGTGCATGCCTCCCAGCCCCGCTCGCACGCGTCGCCACCAGCGAGCGGAGCAGCTTGATCTGCTGCCGATACGGAGTCACCACACCGATCTGGTCCGCAATGCATCCTGCGCGTAACAGCGCCTCGGTAATGCTAATAACGAGCTCGGCTTCAAACTGGTTCTTGACCAGCTCGCCGTGCTTGCTCTCCCCCACCACCTCGAGCGGCAACCCGGCCGTGTCGACAAATCTCACCTTGCTTTCCGGCTTCAGTACTTCCTCCATCCATCCGCCCACTTCCGCACCTTGCAACGCCGCCTCCAGATGCGGAAGCTCCAACCTCCGATCCCTGACCTGCTCCGTGCCCGCCCTGAGCTGCCCGCTGTACACGAGCTCGTTAGCCAGCCGCATGATGTCGGCGTTCATCCTATACTGCGACCTGAGCGCCACCATGGACGCATCGCCATGGCGTTCGCACAGCAGCTTGAACAGCGACACGTCCAGCCCGCCCGCCTTGGCCTCGGCGTTCTTCACCAGCGGCGGCAGCTGATGGTGATCGCCAACCAGCACAAACTTGTCCGCGAACCGCAGCGGCCCCAGACACGTCGGCAGCGGGATCTGCGACGCCTCGTCCACGATGCAGTAGTCGAAAAGATACTCGGGCGCCGCATCTGCAGCCGACTCCGAAGGCGAATCTGCGCCACGCCGGCTGCGCAACTTGGCCATGCCGGACGAGAAAAACGTGTGGTGCACACTTAGGCACGTCGCTGCCACCACGTTGGGCGACTCGAATGCCTCGCGCAGCTCCTCCAGGGTCGAGCAGCGCGGCAGCAGGAATTGGTGCGCGTCCGCATGCACCTTGTCCCTGCTACCCAGGCGCAAGATCCGCATCGCCTCCTCCTCGCCCTTTGCAGGTTGGTCCTCGGCGAGTTTGCGCAGGATCGTGTCGAC